GGCTGAGGCAGGAGGATCACTTGAGCCCAGGAGTTTGAGGTTGCTGTGAGCTAGGCTGACGCCACGGCACTCTAGCCTGGGCAACACAGTGAGACCCTGTCTCAAAAAAAAAAAAAAAAAAAAAAAAGGTTAAACATGGAGCTACCAGCTGACCTAGCAGGTTCATTCCTAGGTGTATATCCGAGACATGAAAACATATGTCCACGTACAAACTTGCATACAATGTTTACAGTGGCATTATTCATATTAACAGTGGAAATAATATAAATGTCCACCAACAGATGAACAGATAAATAGTGGCATACAGATACAATGGAATATTATTCAGTCCTAGAAAGGAACAAAACACTAATACATGCTACAATTTGGAAGAACCTTGAAAACATAATGCTGAGTTACAGAAAGCAGCAGACATGAAAGGATGCATATTGTATGACTCCACTTATACGTAATTTTCAGAACAGGCAAACCCACAGAGACAGAAAGTAGACTGGTGGTTGTCAGAGAATGAGGGGAAAGGGGGATGGGGAGTAATCACTTAAGGGATGCAGGGTGTTCCTCTGGGTGTTGAAAACATTCTGAAACCAGAGAGAGGTGGTGGTTGCATAATATTGTGAGTGTACTAAATGCCACTGAATTACATACTTTAAAATGGTTAATTATATATCATATGGATTTCATATCAATTTAACTTTCAAACTAAAAAAGCAAGAAACAAAAGTCACAACTAAGGAATTTTATCATGTAATTTTTCAAAAAAAGATAAAGCAGTCACTTTTAAAATAGCAAGAGTAGACTATGTACAGAGAAACTACAAAGACTAATGCGAGAAAATTAAAATGTTGCTAACTACTTTTTTTCCCTTTATGAATAATCAAATATAGGTGACTGTTAATGCTGATGACATACTTTAGAAAGGACAGCATGCGGATAAAAGTGGTGGGAATGGAAAGACATGAAGACAGAGAACAAGATCCTTATCTTCTCTGGGAAATGTCAACAAAAGTTGGAGACTAAATTTTAACTGCAGGGCTGTGGAATGACAATTCTACTTCATGGTATTCAGAAGTGAAAATATAAAACTTTCACACAGTGTTTACTCTAAGCATAAGGTCGGAGGAGGGACTAGACAAAACCCTTGGGCTCCTTTACTTGCCTGTGCCAAGGACGGCACAATGAGAGACGCCACAGGGAGCAGCAGGGGCCTCAGGGGCTCCTCACTCCAGGGTTTCTCTGGGGGTGAAGGGAAGGCTGCATCATTGCTAATTTTGTAGGGAAAAATGTGCTTACAGAATAATCTTGAGATCATTCACTTCCCTGCAAATTCTTTATAAAATTATGTCTAGGAGCGCTAAGAATAATTATTACTATCTTAGGTCAGATAGAAGATACTTCAATCCACAGGAAATGTTTCTGAAACTGAATGGATTCAATTTAATTTAGCAAATACCATCTACTTACTGGGGAGAGATTAAGGTAGAGATTAAGAGTTGGATTTAGGTCAGCAGTGTAATTTCAGGCAATTACCTAACTTTTCTTCATTTTTCATCATCTTAAAATTTAGCTAATCCATGGAAAAGCACTTAGCATGGTCCCTGACATGTGGCGAGAATTCAGTCGACGTCCTTTCTCATGACTGCCCTTTGAAGACTCAGTGCAAACATCCCACCCTTGGGGCACCGGTAGTCAAGCCTCCAAGTGCATTTATGGCAGGCCTCTGCCTGCCTGTCATCTGTCTGCACTGTCATTGTCTTTTACTTCTTGCTCTGTTAGACTGAGGTCTTTCTGTGTCTCAGTGCCTGACATAACTTAGAGTTCAGTACGTTTGTGGAACAACTGGAAACAGCACCTGATATAAAGGACCTCGTTACTCTAGTGTGTACGGGGGGTGCTATGGTTTGAATGTTTGTGGCTCCCCCAAAATTCATGTTGAAACTTTATGTCCAATGTAATAATATTAAGAGATGGGGCTTTTAGGAGGTGATCAGGCCATGACACGGCTTTGCCCTTATAAAAGGGTTTGAGGGGGTGAGCTGGTCCCTCCCACCCCTTCTGCCATGTGAGGACAGAGCGTTAGTCTCCTAAGGAGGATGCAGTAATAAGGTGCCATCTTGGAAGCAGGGAACAGGGCCCTCACCAGACACCGAAGCCACTGGTGCCTTAATTATGGTCTTCCCAACCTCCAGAACTGAAATAAATTTTTTTTTTTTATTTGAAAGAGTCTCACTCTGTTGCCCAGGCTGAAGGGCAGTGGCTTCATCACAGCTCAGTGCAACCTTGAAATCCCAGGCTCAAGCAATCCTCCTGCCTCAGCCTCCTGAGTAGCTGTGACTACAGGTGTGCGCCACCACGCCTCACTAATTTTTCTAATTTTTGTAGAGATAGGGGGCTCGCTCTTGCTCAGGCTGGTCTCGAATTCTTAGCCTCCAGTAATCCTCCTGCCTCTGCCTCCCAGAGTGCTAAGATTACAGATGTGAGTCACCATGCCCCAGCCTCTGAAATAAATTTTTGTTTTTTATAAATTACCCATTCTCAGGTATTTTGTTACAGCAGTAGGAATGGACTAAGAATAGAAGGTGTCAACGAGAAATACCTACAATGCAGCAGGCAGGATTTCGATAGGTTGAGACTGGGCATGGTGGTATAGTGGGGGGGCATGCCAGGCAGAGGAGAAAATAAAAGTAAAATGGACAAGCTCAGAACAGCTATGTCTACCTGGTTTAAACTTATCACCCTTGGTCTGCTCTGTAGTTCAACAACACTTACACTAGGGACAGTGGAGCTTTTCTTGCGTTCAGGAATATCTGCCTTATTGGGATTATTTGCATTCCCAAGCATGGGACTGGCTGGAGCAATTCCCTTTCCTCCAACAGCAATGCCACTTGATTTCCGGGAGGGTATTCCATCTTCTTTGAGGTCACTATCTGCAGTGCTGGTCTGACTTCTTTTTGGATATGCCACAACTGCAGGAACAGCTGGTCCAGCTAAAATAAAGAGTTCACTTTTTAAAAGATAAAATATAATTTCACATTTTATTTTATGAAAATAAACATATTTTGTAAGACGATCAAAGATTCCTATCATCTAAAAAAATGTAAAACAGTAAAATCCTCTAAGATGTTGCCCACTTATACAAAGAATGTTTACTCTATGCAATCAATGAATTCAATTTTGAAATTTCACTTATTAGTTCCTAACTTGCTACTTTTCTTAAAGATTTCTTTTTTAAAAAAATAATTGTTTAGAGTGGTCCTTTGGAAACATCTTAAATAGGTGTTACTGTATAGATAACCAATCAAATTAATTAGAGGCACACACATCATGCAGAATGAACTGGTTCACCTTGTGTATCTGAGTGAATTACATCCATTTTTGTATAAGAGATGCCTTCACCTTTTGGAATAGAACAGTATAGATTTTATGGGCCATTTCTTTTAAAGTTTTAACTTGGATCTTTTTAAAAGCACTCGTAATTTTCTAGATTAATAAGAACTTGAATAGACACAGGAAGGTGATAAAAGCAGAAGAAAACATGTTCCTCATGTGAGCGACAGGGAGGAATTGGGCAGAGGTACCTGGTCATACCCCCAACTCCAAGAGCAGTGAGCCTAGGGACACCCCAGGTGCATGATTAACCAATGCCCTGTAATAAACCATATGGAGACTCTGATAGTAGCACAGGAGATCTAGAGTGCAAAGAATTTTGGAAATGAACATGATAATTATTATATTCATCAGGTATGATATCCAGTGGTAACCTTAAAGAACAGCACCAAATGCTCATCATTTATTCTAAGGCAGAGGGACTTTATATTTTAGTCTATTAAAAGGGTGGAGAGGGAAGTTACCAGTTGAACAAAAAGCTAAATGGCAAATCTATTTGGAATTCAATTTAAAGTAAACAGGGCTTAGGAGTTTGAGGCTGCAGTGAGCTATGATTGGCCACCACATTCCAGTCTGGGCCACAGAGCAAGACCCACTGGGCTTAATTTTATTTATGAGAGAAGAACAAATAAACTGTTACACAGTTTAATCTGATACACACTTCCTAGAAAAGTGTGTATGAACACACATCAACAAGGGTTCACACTTGGGCCCCAAATTAAGTAGCACAGCTACAAACTGCATTGTGGTTTCAGAGCAGGAGGCACATATGCAGAGGTAGACACCAAAGGCAGGCAAAGGGGAGCGGCGAGAGGCAGCTGGAGGACGACCTAGAAGCTGGCCTGGCCACAGGCTTGCCTGCCTTCACCTGGTACCAAGTGGATCGACTTTGCTAGGCATCAGCTTTGGAGCCTGTCTAGTTTTTAGCACTTAAAAGAACAGCGCCATTAAGTGCCACAGGTATAATACATCTTTCCTTTGCTGACCACTCTCTCCATACCCATAAAAAATAAAAAACAGGCAGGCATTGGGTCAATAAGTGATTTTCTCTATAAATAGTAATAATTTTGGGAAATATTCTTTTATGAATTTCCTTTTAATATTAGAAACTCCAAGACACAGGATGATGATTACTATAAAAAGGATACACCAGTGAGATGGTTTAGTGAACAAGGCCACAGGATGAGAGTCCTGGATCCTGCCCCAGGTATTCCCCACTTGCTATGCAATCTCAAGAGACTAGGTGATCTCTCTTGGGCCTATTTTCTCATTGACAGAATGGGCAGTTGGTGAATGTATGTGTAACACCATGTCTAAAGCTCTTTTTATCTCCAAAAGTTTATAAGCTGGGGAAAAAAGCACTGATAATCCAGATGGAATCTATGTGCTTAAGGAAGAACATATTTGTTATGATATTTCCAAAAGACATGAGGAAATTCCATTATCAGGTTTCTTTTAGGTTTCAGAAACAATTCCCTTTAAACTGCATGGTTTCAGGGCAATATGTAGGCATTGCTAATTGCCCTGCCATCCACAGATACTGAAAACCCCTCCTCGTTAGCAACTAACAAACACAAAAGACAGACACCCAGATCAACACCTCACTCACAAATGCCATGAGCACAAATGCTGGTGTCAGCATGGGTTCGAGCTCTCAGTTACAGCCCAGAACAGCAGGCACTGTAGAAAACTGACGGGCACTGTTAGGACAGACACTGTGCTGCTACAGTCCAAACCTGCGGGAGGTAGCATCAGCAGGAAGAATTACGGAAACCAAGGGGTAGGGAACCTGCAGGCTTCGTGCCACATGTGGCCTTCTAGATCCTTGAGTGTGGCCTTTTGACTGAATCCAAATTGTATATAACAAATCTTTTTAATGAAGTGTCAAATCTCAAAGTGAAAGAACGAAGGTGTAAAATATCCAGAGAAGAGAACTCAAAGGACAAGGGATGAATGGGGTTCCATATAAGGACATACTTTTAAAAGTTAGGACCAGACCAATACAGATTTGGTTCCCGAATCCTAGAATATTGAAATTAACAGAAATGCCCACAATGCTAACATTTATAGTTATGGGTGAGAAAACAAACACACACGTAAGAGTCTCAGGACTCTAACACATGGGCAGCCTCGAGAGCAGAATAACTGCAGAGTGTGGTAAGCACAGCCCCTGGGCTCTCAACCTCATAAAGGGTTGGCTTCTATGGGGAAGTGTAAAACAAAGGGTGACTTAACCACACAAAATAGCAAGAGTGTGGATGAGAATGAGATAGTATCATGAACTGGGTTTTATTAAAAAAAAAAAAAAGACAGAAAAAATTTAAACCAACGAAAGCAAAACTGGGGTACTATATATTCTCCAGGGCTTCCCTGTCTAATATGGTAGCCACTGGCCACATGTGGCTAAAAATAAAAATGGAAACTCATTTCCTCAGTTCAAGTGCTTAACAGTCAAGAGCGGCTAGTAGCTACTTGACTGGACAGCAAGACAGAGAACATTTCATTACAGAAAGTTCTACTGGAAAGTGCTGCTCTAGAAAGTAAATCTGATGCAGAGGTGGAGAAGGGAGTGAACTGCACTGCAGACTAAAGCAGGCGTCCCACAGGGGCGGATGGTGAAGGTTCTACCCAGCTCAGCCTTACCCAACAGAAGCCCAGAGTGTGCCAAGGAGATCAGAGCCTGGAGGGACTCGTGCCAGCAGCTGTGAGAATGCTAAGAAAGAAATGCCAAGAAGGGACATAAAGCCAACCTCCAACCCCGGCAGGCCCTGAGAATGCTTCCCCACGCGAGGAGCGACGCTCCAAGAGAACACACTGACACGTTGTCAGACTTACCGTGGTCACTGTAACGTCTCTGCTTCTGGCTTGACGACACACTTCTCTGCACTTTGTGATGAGGAGACTGGCCGGTGCTGTTGTTGAGATCACTGCTCGGCCGAACCTTAGCGAGTGAAAGATTGCTGCTAGAACTGGAATCGCTAGCATCCAGCTGAGAGGAAACGAGAAACACAATAAACCACAACACGAACCCAGATGTTTATTAGGAAACTAAACTTCCCAGAATACACAGACCTCTCATTAACAGTTCATTCAGAAACACGAAGAATCACAGTGTTTAAAAATGACAGCCATCAACTCAGGCGAAAGTATTTTTCTGACTGCTAGAAAAAGTCACAAAAGGTTATCTATCTACGGTCTTCTTTCCAGGCTTTTCCAAATAACTTAAAATATCCTGTTTACTTATTAAAGGTTATTATCTTGAAGTTAAAATAGTAGCTTGTAATGATCATGGGAGTTAGATCTGGTATTTGCAGGTAAATTTTTAAAAAATGATATGTCAAATATGTTATACATATCTAAAAAATAAAAACTAGGAGAATAGTTTACACAAACTGGTAATTTACACAAAGGGTGTTTCGGCTCTTCCTCTCTGATCACTCTTACCTCTGAAGACTTTCTCCCCAACAACAAGTACGTGGCTGTGATTTCATCATATTTCATTTTACTAAGAGATTCTTGAATTTCTTCTTGTGAATAACCCATTCCCACCAAAATACCTAAAAAAGAAGGGTATAATATAGTTTATGTGTTCTGTTTGGGTAAGAAATCATTCTGTTACAGGGCAAAATAATTTTCTTTAACCTAAAAGATCACACACTTTCTCACACAAATGAGCACGTTTCTGAGTTACTGGGCGCTATTGTAAGAAACTAGCGTTAAGTTCCTAAATACGACAGAACAGATAAGCTGATTCATTATATAATTTGTGCTTAATATTCCATTATTCACATTTTAGCATATACATGAGTCAAACAGAAATATCTTACACAAACATATGCGCACATAAGCATGTAGGCACAGAGTAATTACCTATTCTTTTCTGGTCTGAGATGTCTAGTTCTGGCTCAACAAATGGTTTAAGTTCATCTTCCTCATGCCCTGCATTGATCCACCTGTCCTTCATGATTTGCTGAAAAGGTGAACTGTTCATTAGCAGCATAATATAAAATATTCCAATAATCACAATATTTAGGCAAATTTATTTCAACATTTCGTTGACTGTAGGTCAAAGGGTAACTTAAAAATTTTTTTTTAATGTCGCAATTCCTGCTTAAAAAGTCCCAAGCAAGTATTCACTCAGTATGCCACACAAACCAAGCTGAGTTCTAAAAGCTCTCCAAAGTTATTACTTATTTTCACTTATGCGATTACCTCTAGAGTGCCTCGTTTAATTGGATTTAGCACCAGAAAACGTTTGAGAAGGTTTTCACAGTCTGTAGACATGTAGAAAGGGATTCTGTATTTCCCTCTTAATACTCTCTCTCTCAGTTCCTTTGGGGAGGGAGAAAGGACAGAAAACTAGTGAATCAACTTTTAGGTTAAAAAAAAACAAAAAACCCACTGAAACCCCTAAACTAATATAACATTAAAAATGCAAACCCATATAATTTAATGAAACTCCTTTTGGTTTTGTATAGTACACGGATGCAACTGCTTCCTGTACCTTCAGGTTTTGCCCATCAAAGGGAAGTGAGCCACTGACGAGCGTGTACAGGATCACCCCGAGACTCCACACATCCACCTCCGGCCCGTCGTATTTCTTGCCCTGGAAGAGCTCGGGGGCTGCGTATGGAGGACTGCCACAAAACGTGTCGAGTTTACTACCAACAGTAAATTCATTGCTAAAACCAAAATCTGCTATTTTAATGTTCATATCGGCATCTAACAATAGATTTTCAGCCTAGAAGGAAAACATCAAGACAAAAATAAAATTCAACCAAAATGTAATTAGAACTAGGACAAGACCAGGCATTTCATAAAATAAGCTTTTTGTAATGATATAAAGTTAATATCTAATTAATAAAATAACAATTTTTCCTAGAGGAAAAAAACAGGAGACAAATTAGAACTCCTACTTTTATAATATTAAAAATCAATAACAGACATGAAGTGCTCCAGCCTCAGTAGCTGAGACTACAGGTGAGTGCCACCATGCCCGGCAAATTTTTAGTTTTATTTTTCTTGTAGAGACAAGTTTCACTATGTTGCCCAGGCTGGTCTTGAACTCCTGGCCTCAAGCCATCATCTTACCTGTACCTTCCAAAGTGCTGGGATTATGGGCATGAGCCACTAGGCCCAGTCCTTTGACAGGGTTTTAAATTAGGAATAATAAGGGGTTCTTTAAAAAATGGGTATTTGCCTTAATGTGGATAGCCACATTTCACAAAAACTGCTAAATAGTTGTAAAATGGCTATTATTGAGGAAGGGAGAATCACAAACCCCATTCAAGAGACAAATCACACTCTCATTTATTTCAACAAACATTTACTATGTGGCTTCTACACAACAGATGTTATATTAGTGTCTGGATATGTAATGAACAGGACAGAGAGAACCCTGCACTCAGAAGCTCACAGAAGGGGAGAGGCAGAAAGATAAGCAGCTGCCCTGAGCCCCAAGTGCTGTGTAACCGAGGAGGTACGGGGCCGTGGGCCTGGCGCTGAAAGGGAGGGACTGCTTCCCAGAGGAAGTGATGTCGAAGCACAAGAAGGTGTACCTGGTCACGATGGGTGTGTTGAGGAGTGGTGTTTCGAGTCTGAGAACACACAGGTGAGCGAGTGCACGTTTCACTCCAGAAACTGAAAGTGTCGGGGAGAGAGATGCAGAGAGAGGGCTGGGGAGATGGTCGGGGATGAATGACAAAGGACCGTACTCAAGAAGTTTGGGTTTTCATCCTGAGGGGAATGGGGAGCCACTGAACAGTGGTTGAAACAGAGAAATAACAATCTTATTTGTGTTATAAAAAAAGTCCCTTCTTGGTGCAATATGGAAAACACACATGGGAAGAAGAGGCAAAATTGGAAGCAGAGAAGAACAGAGGCAAGAAACTAGTGTTATAATCAACTATGAGATGACGGTGTCTGGCCTAGCATAGTGTGAGAGACAGAAAAGAGTGAGTGAGCGTAACACGTATTTAGAGAATAGCAGTAAAGGGACCTGGTTGGTGACTGAGTGGATGATGGTAAAGCAGAGGGACACCTGTCACCAGAATGAGAAATGAAGGTTCAAGTCCAGGAAGGAAGAGTTTAGGCTTTGAATGTGCTGCATCTAAGGTGCCTGAGGGACACTTAGGCAGCTGGGACCTGGACCCTGGGAGAGCCCTCTGGCTGTATGTGGGAAGGGTCTTGGGGGTCGTTGGTACACAGGCGGCCACTGCAGCTAATGGAAAAACACAAATGCACTGAGGGTGGGCACGCAGACAAGCCAGTCAATGACAGTCACCTAAGGAAAGAGTGGGGTGAGGACCAAGCTAAGACGTGGAATCTAGAAAATGTTTAGAGAAAGATGCCGTGACTACGAAGAGAGAAAATGGGTGTATCTGAAAGGAGACCTGGGGTGGGGTGTTTTGGTAAAAAGATGGCACAGACTTGAGCATGTATAAATGCTGCTGGTGAGAAGCAAGCCGAGAGAGACAGAGAGAGAGTGGATGAAAACATGGAGAGAAAAGAGGCATGGGACAGGGACAGAGCACAGAGGCAGGGGCAGCACAGGTGCCCCACTTTCCTGTAAGGAGAGGAGAGCTGAAGGATGGGCGCAGCGCGGCCAGGATGAGGGCCTGCAGTTTCCGTTTTCTCTGTGAAATAGGAAACCGCATCCTATGCTGGGGTGGAGGCTGTGACAGAGCCTCAAAGAGGCTCTGCCGTTAACAGGAGATGACGCTGCCTGCAAAAGCACAAGAGAATGCCAGGCAGTGCTGAGGACACTGGCCAGGTGTGTCCACGTTCTTGGAGGCCCTCATCTCTGGCTGCGTGAGGACTGTCCTCCAGAGATCAACCATTGCACCTTAACTGAAACGTAAAATACTTCGCATAAATGTCACTTTTATTTACTTTTAATCCTCTTACTATAACTTGATTAAAATGATCCAATTATTATGAGATGTATTTTTGTCTTATTTGATAACAAAATCTAATCTATGCCTCATTTGTGTAATGACAGACCTGAATGCATACAACTGGAGCACACACGTAGGACGCTTGTACCCACCTTCAGGTCTCTGTGCACGATCCGTTTCTGATGGCAGTATTGGACTGCAGACACGATCTGAATGAGGAGACATGCAAGGGTCAGTCCTCACAGGAGCAGATTCCGAATTAAGAGGAAAATAACTTCATCAATGTTCACACATGCAAAATACGCAGTGAGCACCTGAATGTGGATTTCTAAAAACAGTTTTCTCATGCTTTGAACTTTTCAATCTGGAGAAATTCAGGCCTGAGGGCTAGAAGACAAAGGTGAGGATGTCCTTGTTTTAACTGCAAGTCTCTTCTTAGACTCTGCCTGTTGACATTCCACTTATTTTTGAGCATAATGCCAGAATCCAACAAATCGCCCTGCATCTGGAGGACCCTGGCTGCCCCCGGGCCCAGGACCAGATGGCTTTGGTGTAACCTTCCCATGACTGGGTCACCAACTCAAAACCAAACCAGGGATAGACTTATTTAACTCTCTGAGGGTCAGTTTCCTCTTCCCAGGAATGAATGTTATAACATATGTAAACTATGAAAACTACTAATACTCTGTGCACTATTATAATGATTCCTCCCACTTTCAGCAAATAGCCCGCTTTAGTCAACTTGCAATTATTCCTATGGTTAGCGCTGTTAAACAATTGTTTTACTAAAATTTCACATTTACTGGTAACATTTTAAAAACAGTCTCATTTTCTAGTATTGAAGTTTTATAAACTTATTGTAGAAATTTTAGGAAATACAAAAAAGTATACACAAATATATGTGCATATTACACTAAATAAAGATAGCATCTCTGGTTTTATATTTGCTTCCAGTCTTTTCTTTGGTATTCTACATGTACATTTTTTATTTTTGAGATGGAGTCATGCTATGTTGGCTCAGGCAGGTTTCAAATTCCTGGGCTCAAGAATCATCCCACCTCAGCTTCCTGGGTACCTGGGATTATAGGTGTGTGCCACATTCTTAAGCTATGAGCAGTGCTTTCTAAAGAAAGTGAGAACCTGGATGTTGTCTACATTAAAGTATGAATGTTAGCCTAATTCACTTTCAGTCATATATGAAAGAACAGTGGCACTAACATTAACAGCCCACGAAGAAAGAGCTAAGTAAAGAAGACAGAGCCAGGAATCTATTCTTCTTCTCTGAAAAGAACACGAGCTCAACCAAGAAACTAAAATGGCCGAAGTAGTCACCAGGCTGGGAATGGTGAAGGAAGGAGGAGGAAAACCCACCTGCTCATGAATATGTAAAGAAGGGCCTATGTTCCTTGTCATGAACAGGAAAACTTTTTTTATTTAGTCAAAGTAACGATGACTTATAAGATCCTGGAATGCATGGCACTTAGAAACAGCGAAAAGCAGAAACACCGTATCATGCTTGATTCTTCCAGGTCTAAAGGAGCCGTCTTAGAAAAACACCGCAGCAAGGAGAAGGGATTACATTAATTCTAAGCACTGTAAATCAGGCCATTAATTGTAAAAGCACACCTCCCCCCCACCAAATTTCCTGGTCTAACTAATTGGTTCCTCAAATAAAGGCTTCAGAATTTCTCCAGGGAATTTAAAATAAAAACCACAAGCTGGGCATGGTGGCACATGCCTGTAGTCTCAGCCACTCGGGAGGTGGAGGTGAGTGGATCACTTGAGCTCAGGAATTTGAATCCAGCCTGGGCAACACAGGGAGACCTCATCTCTTAAAAAAACAAAAACAAAACAATAACAAAAAACCCAGAGTAATTGCCTCAAGATTTAGGTTAGTAAATGCCTGTCTTTCTGATGAATTGGATCCCATCAGGTGGTGGACGGGGCCGGGTAGAGATGGAAGAGAACCGCAGCTGGGGGATTAAGTGCCACACTGCATCCTTGGAGCGGCCCGGACACAGACACGCTCTTGCTGGCTGACACTGGCCCTTTCCTCATTGTCAGTAAATCATATTCACATAAATGTCTGCAAGTCAGATTCATCTGAGTAGGAAGGAATTTAAGTTGTATGAGGCAAAAATACTGGCTCTAAGGTGGCTAATTTACAAAAATTAAGAATACAGTTATGCAAAGGGGAGACAGATTGGTTTTCTAATAAAAATTTGAGTTTCCTTTCATAGACCACAGAGTCAAATATTAGAACTCGAAAGAACTCAGAACTCATCAAGTATATTTTCCTCTTCTTACAGCTAGAAAAGCTGAGGATCAGAAAAGTTAAGTGATAGCCAAAGTTAGTTTCAACTCTGATGTTTAACAGATTTTAAGTCAAAGTAACATTAGTATTTCTTAAGCTTTTAAATTTATGCAACGGCAAAAGTTAAGAAACTTAGAAATGAATCCTTAACTGTGATCAGACTAAGCAAATCAAAGGAGGCACTGTTCGCCTGTAATCCTAGCTCTCTGGGAGGCTGAGGCGGGCGGATTGTTTGAGCTCAGGAGTTCGAGATCAGCCTGAGCAAGAGCGAGACCCCGTCTCTACTAAAAATAGAAAGAAATTAATTGGACAACTAAAAATCTATATAAAAAAAAAAAAATTAGCCGGGCATGGTGGCGCATGCCTGTAGGCCCAGCTACTCGGGAGGCTGAGGCAGGAGGATCGCTTGAGCCCAGGAGTTTGAGGTTGCTGTGAGCTAGGCTGACGCCACGGCACTCACTCTAGCCAGGGCAACAGAGTGAGACTCTGTCTCAAAAAAAAAGAAGGAGGCACTGTTTAGAGAAAACCAGAAAATCAGCTAAGACCACCTTTCCAAATGTGAAATCTTTTTTTTTTTTTTTGAGACAGAGTCTCACTCTGTTGCCCAGAGTAGAGTGCAGTGGCGTCAGCCTAGCTCACAGCAACCTCAAACTCCTGGGCTCAAGTGATCCTCCTGTCTCAGCTTCCCCAGAAGCTGGAACTGCGAGTATGTGTCACCACACCCAGCTAATTTTTACTATTTTTAGTAGAGACAGGGTCTCACTCTTGCTCAGGCTGGTCTCGAACTCCTGAGCTCAAGCGATCCACCTGCCTCAGCCTCCCAGAGTGCTAGAATTATAGGCGTGAGCCATTACGCCTAGCTAAGCTCTAGATTTTTAAGGCTGAATAGTCAAAAGGAAAGTTAAGAGTCTACTGTCAACATTACAAAGCTAGGAATAGAACCCATGGCTACCTCTAGCATAGCACCTTAGGCACGAAGGGCACTTAATACATTTTTGTTGAGCTGAACGGCCAATCCCTGCCATCCAGTGAGCCATCTAAGCATTTGTACAGGCAAACACTTGTTTGCTTCAGGGTCTAAGCACGGTCACTTTATTAAACTGACAAACTAAAGATATAGTAATTCATACCTGTCTAAATTTAGCTCTTGCTTCTTTTTCCTTCATTCTTCCATGTGCAACCAAATAGTCAAATACTTCACCTATAATTAGGAGAAAGGAAAGTAAGCAGAAGTCCCACTTGTCAGCATTAATTTTCCCATAAACTGACAATTTCTCACTTTCATCAATGCTCTAATTTTTAAATACAGGCATGAAATTAGCCAGAAATATGTGGAATTTAAACTAACCTGGCCTTAAGTTCAACTACAGGCATTTAAGTTCACCAATAAAATCTTCAAGCTAGAGAAAAGCCTTACCATTGAATTCTCATATGCTTAAATTATACAACTTTTATTTTAAATGGTGTTTTCAATATGCTGTAATAAACACTAAGCAATGAAAATTGAAAGTCAAAGTGGATGAAGTTATGTGTGTTAAAAGAGGATGTCTTCACTGACATCAAATGCATTTCCTGAGTATATTCCTTCATTCAACAAATATGTACTGAGGGCCTACTAACCACCAGGCACTGTTCTAGGCTCTGGGGAAACATAGCAGTGAACACAGGAAAGTCCCTTTCCTCATGGGGTTTCCATTCCAGGAGGGGGAGACAGACAATACACAACTCCATATATAGTATGTCAGAGAACACCCAGTGCTGTGGAGAAAAAGCAGGGGAAAGAAACAGGTGGAGTGAGTGAGTGAGTGTGAGTGTGTGTGTGTGTGTGTGTGTGTGCGCGCTCGCGTGCGCGCACATGAACCTGCCTGCTTGTGGTTTTTTTTTTTTTGAGACAGAGTCTCACTGTGTTGCCCGGGCTAGAGTGAGTGCCGTGGCGTCATCATAGCTCACAGCAACCTCAAACTCCTGGGCTCAAGCAATCCTTCTGCCTCAGCCTCCCGAGTAGCTGGGACTACAGGCATGCGCCACCTTCTTTCTATTTTTAGTAGAGACGGGGTCTTGCTCTTGCTCAGGCTGGTTTCGAACTCCTGAGCTCAAACAATCTGCCCGCCTCAGCCTCCCAGAGTGCTAGGATTACAGGTGTGAGCCACCGCGCCCGGCCGCCTGCTTGTGTTCTGCTGACTACTTGAGGGAGCGGACAACATAGTTATCTGAGGTAAGATTCTGAAGCAAGTAAGGAACGGCAAGGAGGCCATAGGGTTGGAGAAGCGTGAGCAAGGGGAAGAGAGGCAGTTGACAAGGCCAGGAAGAGTCCTGCAGGCCTTGGTAAGGACTCTGGCTTTACTCTACATGAGCCCAGAAGCAGAGAAGATAAAAGGAATGACCTCGTGAAAAGATCAGCCGGAAAGAGGTTAGGATGAAGGGAGGGACAGGGAGACCAATCAGGAGACTAGTCCTATAGTGGAGCCAGGCATGAGAGTGACTGGGACGAAAGCGGGAGGTGCGGTGGTGGTGAGAAGCCGGGGCTTGGGACACAGTGAGGGTGAAGCCAACAGAACTCGTGGATGGACATCTCGGTGGCAGTTCATACACTATTGATTCATTCTTTGAGGAAGAGAGGTGACATTTTGGGGAATGTATTATTAGTACTGCCAGCTGCTTATCAATTTAGAATAAAGAAACACCACCTCTGAAATCAACAGAGAAGAACATGAATTTAGAAGATTAAAGTGTTTCCCGGGAAAGAACACATCTACTTCATACACACAAGGAATATCTCCATCAGCTTAGTGACAACATTCAACTAAAATATTCTGATACTTGAATTGTACATTAATGTCTCTGACTTTTTAAACTCTTAACCCTAACTCTGAATAAATCAGTTTTAAATAACGATAGGCATAAATATTTTCATATTATCATTTGATTGTATAATGATCTTTTAAAAGGCATTACATACCATCAATTTATACTACCCAATTCATTTAACTACGATGAATTAGGAAGTTAAATGTCAGCTCAATAAAAAGTCAGCATTTTCTAAGCGAATGACCTTTCTATTTGCAGAAAAGAACACAATGTCAAAGCAAGTGGTTAATAAGTGAAAACAACTAAAGATGTGTGCAGTCATACAGAAAACAGTTATGACGTTAAAAAATTAATGTATTAAGCTCACTAGCTGCTGTATAGTAACATAGGTAAAGTCCAAGTCTGTGAATATAATTTTAAAATTTTTTCTAAATCCCAATGCAATATAAGCCTCTTAAGAGATTTCTGGAACCATGAAGTCACACTCACAACCACTAAGTTACACATCAGTTCAACTTTTAAACCAGGAATTCAACCTAGAGCTTTCTTTTTATTCCTTATTAAAAATGTATTAACACTCAGATTAAATAGCTGAACTGAAAACCTCTAAGGCTATTTATTAGAGAGAGAGGAAAAAAAACCAACATGCAATGGTTCTCCTGCCCAGGTCAGGGAACAGTAGGCTGGAAGGACCCTGGGCAGGACAGTTCAGAGAGTTCTTAGTTCTAGTTCAGGTTCTGTAACTAACTAATTAGAGAATCCTGGGCATAGAACAATCTGAACTTAGTTTCATCTGTAAAAATTAGACAAAAAAATGTCCTAGATAATTTCTAAGATCCTTTCTAATTCTAAAGTTCTATGACTCCATCAAATCAAAAGTTACAAGCCTGAAGGGGGATGGGTAGTCAGTTTAATGAAACTTTTCACAAAGGCAAACGCATCAACAGTAACAAAGATGTCCTGGAGATTGACATTGCTTTCTTGAGCTGATAAAAACAAACAGCCCAAGACAATAAACAACCACCACCATCGATTAAATGCTGTTGTAGTGCTGTGCAATGCAGGGAGCCTGCTGGGAGGGCTAGGTCACCAAGCCCACTGTGAAGCTCAGTGTGACATGTTACTTGTCAGGTCAAAGGGGGCCCTGGCTGGCTTTACCCCATGCCTGTCTTTTCCAAAGCCCTTCCTCCTACTCTTAAACCTGGATGCTTCTCAGTTGCTATTGTCTTATCCCTATGTGAGTATTCTCTTCCACCCAGGTACCTAAAATAGATGGGAAAGAAAGCCATGACAGACTGACAAACCACACAGGCTACATGTTGTCAGGGGCTGGGGCTCCAGGCCAGGCACTGAGCCCACAGTGAGGCTTCCCAGCTTCCACTTCCTCAGGGGTAAAAGCCCATTGCTCAGGGCCTGGCCATATCATAGAGTCATTGTGAAAGTCAAAGGACGTCAGGGAAAGGAAGGGAAAGCACTTTGTAAGCGGCAGAAACCATGAGGTAAGGTGGTTATAAACATTAGTCTGTGTCCGCCTAAAAGATGAGCAGGAAGGGTTAGAACGCCATATAGATTTTTGGTCCTGCAATTAACCTTCAGTTCTTCCAACAACTCCTGAAGTTTGAAAATCCCAACCAAATTCCCAAACTACACATTTAAAACATAAAATATGTAACTAATAATGAATTAGGACTATGCAAAAGTGGTGTCAGAGGTATGCCTACTAAAACTCATTGTTTCTCACAACAGGTTTACAGTCTCTCATTTAACAGTTAACTCACTACAACTGGACCATGATATAACTTTCTATCTCCAGGTTTTATAACCTGGATCAAAATGGTAATGATAAAATAAAACCACAATACTGTAGAGTTCAATGGAATGTGTACCCAGTAGTTTATAATTTCATACGTCCAATTCGTACTTGTTGAGTATCTGCTATGTGTCAGGCACTGTGCTCAAGGCAGGGAACACAAAAATATAAACAAGAAAGCTTCTGCCCTCCACCAACGACGATGAAACTCACATGTGGTCCAAACCACAAGCCCAGCCCAACCTCAACCATAAGATGAGAATCTTTATAAAAGATAGAAGCTATATACATGCATTTCAAAAAATGCCTACATTTTTACAATCTTATATGCAAATAATTACCAGTCCTTCATCTGTATTTTAAGGAAAATCTAGTCATATGTCCTATAACCATCATTTCTGGTCTTGGGAAAGATGGACACCAATGACATGTTAAAATCTGATAAAGAAAAGCATCTAAACCACAGTACATGGTTATTTCAAACACACTAATGCATTGATACATTTAAACACCCAAATACTTGGGATAAACAAAGTGTGTGTTCCACACATAACACAATAGCATGCAGCCTTAGAAAGGGAGGAAATTCTGACACATGCCAGAACATGGATGGACCCTGAAGGTATTACGCTAAGTGAAATGAGTTAGTTACAAAAGGACAAATACTGCAATCTGTACATGAGGCACTTAGAGTAGTCACATTCATAGAGGCAGAAAGTATAATAGAATGGTGGTTGCCAGGAGCTGGGGGAGGGGAAATGAGGAGTTGCTGTTTATGGGTACACAGATTCCCTTTGGTAATATGAAACAGTTCTGGAGATGGACGGTGGTGAGGACTGCAAAACAATGTGAACATACTTAAACCACTGAACTGTACACTTGAATGGTTACCATGGTAAATTTTATGCGATGTATATTTTTCCATATTAAAAAAATTCAGGGCCTTGGATACTATCAATTAACAAAGCTAATAGTGAAACAGTTAATGGCAACCCATAGAATTGTTAAAAGTCAGCTTTTCTGACTCTCTCATCCTAGTACACTATGACTCTGGATGTTAAATGAAACCTTAACAATTATTCATATGGGCACTATGGCTGTGTATTCTTTTAAAAGAGAAGAAAGAAAAAAAAACCCAATATATATAAATGTTCTTACCTCCACTTGCATACTCCATGATTAGGTAGAGTGTTTTTTCAGTTTCAATGACTTCGAATAACTTCACTGGGGGGGAGGGGAGAGGATATAGGAGAAAAAGAAACAAATGTCTCTGTGCACAAGCCATGCACACATAAACTGTAACTATCAAAAGCAACTTTTTCCCTGTTAAAGATTTTAATAGCTAGCCCTCTAAAAAATGCTTTTAGGGGATTTTACCAAATGGTACAACAGAAAAGCTTTTATGAAAGCAAATAATTCCATAAAAATAATGATCATTTCTGGGTACTCAGTAAGATTTCAGTATGCGTTCAGCCGTCTAGCAAGGGCTATCTGTACTTGCTCCTTCTGTCATAGTTGTTACTGCATTTATTTGCTTCTTGGCTACCTGCCCTCCCACCAGCTCACCCTTTGCCCCTTAGGAAAAGTGGTCTCATTTCTCTCAGCCTGCAGCAATCGCTCAGATTTATTCACTCCTACAACTGCTCATCCATTCACTTGTCATTATGGCTTTAAGGCTATAATTCCATTTCGGACCTTTGTTGCTTGGAAACTTATCACAACTCTCAAGAACAAGGTTCCTTTGTTACTATTCTGAAGCCAGAGAGGGAAAGAAGCAAAAGGGTTTATACTGCAATTATTTGGAAGAAAAAAAAAAAAACACTTTCTGAAAGAATGATTTTTAGCAGGTCAGTGTGATTTTGCTACAGCAGTCCCTTGTTACAGATAGAAATGTTTGTCTTACTGCTAATTCATAAAACCATAACACATCAATTAGAAAGATATACAGTTTTAAATGAAACTGAAGCAAATCACTGAAGCTATCCAGTCATCACTGTGCATACCTACTTTATTTTGTCAATATTTACTTTAAAACTAAATTTACACAAAAGAGGGGGTGTCATGCTACTCTTTTATATTGCAGGTGATTTTCTGATGCTTTAATAGAGTATTAGGCCAAAAAGTGTCTCACACAGTAGTCAATAAATGTTTGATGAACGCATGAATAAAACTATCATATGCTCTGGTATGTTCAAGTTGCCAAGAAAAACCATTTAAGAAAGTTAAGACACATGTGCTGGTGAACAGCACAAAAATAAAACCTTTCTAACATTCCAATGCAAATTTTGGCTCTTTGGGGAAAACCATTTTAATGCAATACAAATTATTTAAAATTTCAATCTATTATCAAAGATATGTCATTTAGTAAGAACTCTAATCAGGGTATAATTTAAGTAATTAAAGGGCAAAATAAGTATGTTTAAGTTAGCTAGTCCTAGGCAGTAGTGATAAAGTTTTGTGGCGAAAAGTTGGAATTTGAAATCCAGAGTTGGCTGGCTTGCCCCAAAGGGTTGAAATTAAAAGCAAAAAAAGGTTTTCTTCCCACTAGTATATTCCTTGTGATTATCCTTTTCTTCAAACATACTATATTTCACTGATTCTAAGATGTCTATTTTAAGCAGTAATTCTGATAGCAAGATAATGGCTTGGTAGCATTTTTCTTTCTTAGAAGTATATAAAAAATAATGCCTTTTAAATAGATTTGATGAAGCAGACCATAAGCCTTTTGTTAAAGTATACAATCAAAACGAACAGCTCTGTGTAACAGCCTTTTCCTTCCTGTGATTCCATGTTATTCTTCCATCCCTGTGCCTGAAGCATTCCTGACAGGCTAACTTTACCACTAAATATCACCCTCTCCTATCCTACAACTGCTGTTGACAGTACACTCACATGGACTGTCTTAACAGTGATTTCACTCTGAAAATACTATTTTTAGATTGTGGGAGCTATCGCTGATACATAAAACACATTTTGATATATATAAATATATATGTAAAGCAGTTAAATAATTTACAAAGATCCTTATTATGATATATGTGGGATCAAAAGTTTCCACTGCATGTGTACAGAGTAGGGTCAGTATTAAGTAATTTGCATTATTTTCATCTTGTTCTTACAATTACTATGAGGGGAGGTACTTCCTCATCTTTAAACCTACCTCACAGCACCTAGCACAGAGCTGTGCACACAGAGGACACATAAAACAAATCTTTGCTTTATAAAACAATTTCTATCAAAATTCCATTAGATAGCAAGTATCCCATCTTTTAAATACGATTCAGTGTACAAGTATTTTCTCAGGAACTTAGTCACAGCGAAAAGTATTATACCTTTGAAAATATTAAATTTCACTTCCTATAATTCTCTTCTATCTACTAATGAAATAAAATTAAATTTTCTAATATATTAAAAAAGCAAATTACAGTTATGATTATAGATATTTCTACTGCACTAAAGGTTTTAACTTGTCCTTAGTAATTTCAAAAAGCTAATATAAACAATCAACAATTTGTATATATATTTTATCAAAAGTGTACCAGGGGTAGGGGAAGGGAAGGAGTCTCTATCATTTCTGGAATACATATTTAGCTTTGTGACATGCTTTCAAGAATGCATTTAGACCAAAAAGTATTTAAAAAAGCAGAAAGTACCTATGTTTGGATGATTTAAAATCTTCATTATTCTTACTTCTCTGAAGAGCTAAAACAAAACAAAACAAAACAAAAAACAATCCCCCGAATACAAGTTATTAAACATTATATTCCACTGTTGCAATATAAATGTAAATTTTCTCTTAGATAACAAATTCATTGCTAATGTTTATCATTCCATAGCTAAGACTAATACGAAGTCTGGAGTAACTCTGAAGTAGCTTTATAAACCGCTATTGAATACTTCCATTTATGAAAAACAGCAGAAGTCTCAAAGGGGTAGGGTACCATATTTTCCATTTTCTTTTGCTATCTTGAAAATATAAGACTAGACTCAGGCAAGAATAGTTTTTATGATTAAATTTACTCTGATTTGCTATCTCCCCAGGGGTCCCAATTTTGTCAACCAAAACTCAACAGAAGTGACAAAACTTGACCATCGGTGAATTATACCATGAGCATATTATATTGATAATTCCAAATAAATCTATGAGAACATTTTGAACACAACCACCTTGGGAAATCCTCACTGGAGAGGGCAGGTAATTTAGCATGGAGGCTGTGACAGGCTGTTACATTGGTGACCCTAAAGAGTCACGCCTCACATGTTCCTGCTTTTGTGGAGTGTCCCTTTCATACAGACACGAGATGTGGCCGTGTGACGTGCCTTGGCCAACAGGACACCAGCAAACTCAAAGCCAGCAGAGGCTGGAGAAGACGCCAGGCCCTGCGGGGCCTGCTCTCTCAGAGCAGCGCAAAGGAGCTGGCAGAGGCTCTGTGCGGATGAAGGGTGGTGTGCAGGTAGAGAGACCCACCGTCCTGACTGCATCTAGCCCTGCCACCCCACCAGCTGAACGCGGCCACACACATGGACCCAGGTGAGACCTCACGAAGAATCGCTCTGCCAAGGCCAGCAGAGCGGCCCAGCCATCCCACAGAATGAGGAGAAATATCAAATTGTTGTTGTATATTCACAAGTAAATTCAGAAAAGGGTCATACTGTGGCCTGGGTTAGTTAGTATGATCCGGAAAAACTACAGGATTAGGCCTTATTCAACCCCACTGCGAACAAGAGCAAACCAGGAAAGGACAGAAAAAGATCTTCCAAGGCCTTGCTATCTTTCTATAGGGAATTTGGCCAGAACCGGCTGACTCAGGACACTACAACCCACAGGAGGCAAGGGCTGGGAAAAGCCTTCAGAGAGAAGCAGCAGCTGGCCACATGGAAAGGAAGCTGGTGAGAGATCACAGGACTCTTGCTGCTCTTGTTCCTGTCCATTGAGTCTCATCTATAATTCAATCAGCAGCTCAGGAGGTACGGGCATGGGTGGGATTTGACAAACCTAAGCTATGAACCTGAGTTCAGAACTTAAAAACATGGAATCAGATGAATAACCTTTCCTGTCTAAAATACTCGCTCATTTTCAAAGGCAGGAGGACTTTTATCTCCAACGTAAATACTCCCGCTGATACTGTGGTCACTCCCACATTTTGTGTTCTGAGATGAGCAGACGGCCACCCACATCCCTGACGATCATCCAGGCTTGAGTTCTTTTCTAGCTTCCCTTTGTTGAGTTAACACAGACATCCTGTTTTCCAACCCATAATAGTTGAGCTCGTGGCTGTAATTTGAATCTCTCAATTACTTCCACAACTGCTCAATTAGAATACCTCCAATTTGGATACCATGTCAATATAGCTCAGGATACTGCACTTAGAGTGACACCCTGACCACGGCCACGGCCACCTTGCACTATGTGGCCTCTGCTTACCCCTCCACCCCAGCATCAGCTCTGGTCACCCCAACTCCTTTCAGTTACTAGAACACACTACAAGTTCTTTTAAATCTCTTCTCCCTCTTCATCTTTGAAGTCTCAGGCAAAATCTCTGGGAAGTTATCTAAGTAGGTCTCCTTTGTTTTACAGCACAGCCATCTGTTCACTTCTTCCCCAGAATGTCTCTCAATTTGTGATGATACATTTGTGTGCACCTCTTCTTATCACTCTGTCACGCACACAGAGCATGTCTGTCTCCCTTCATTGCTGCAAGCCTGAAACCAAGCCTGGCACACAACAGTAACACATTTGTTAGACAAACGCCTGCACGAAGCAGCAACTACCAAGAAGGGCGACTGGAGCGGCTCCTCAGCATTCTAATGACCACACTGCTCTTAATCCTGAGCAGCAAAACGCCTGCCACAGAGTTGTGCTGGTTCTGATGGCTGAAGAGCAGGTCCGAGGAAGGCAATCATTTTAAATCCCACTGACAGTGCAGTGGGATTGAAACAAAGTGAATCAGAGCCAAAGAGCAGGGAAAGATGGGCTCTTACAGGAATGTGAGGGAGGGAGGGCTCACTTCTGTCGCAGACAGCAGGCACCACGGAGGCACTAGGCTTATGCAGGACTTAAAAAAGGATGTCCGCAGTTGAAAATGGGGTGCAAGTGCTCTGCGCACGTGCGCAACGATGGGCAGGTGCAACCAATGAAGGCACCGAAGGGAGACCAAGACCCTGTGACCCATCTGGCCACAGCAGTGTGTCTCCAAGCGTAGACTTCAGGCCACCTGCATCCGAATCACGAGGGTGCCTGTGCACACTGCAGGTTCCTGGGTCCTACCTAGCACTAGATCTGAATCGAAGACTTAGAGTTTACTATTCAACAAGCACCTCGGGCACAGTGGTTTTAAAACAAGTCCATAAATCCCTCCCCTCAAAAGGCAGGACTTAATATCCCTTCCTTTGGGTGTGGGCGGACTTAGTGGCCTGCTCCCATCAACGGAATCTGGCAGAAGCAACGGTGGGGACTGCAGAGACTGACCAGGTCCGAAAAGGCACTGTGGCTCCCTCTTTGTTCTGACAGGTCACTTGCTGGAGCAGCATAAGGACATTCAAGCACCCCCGTGGGTAGGACCATCTGACAACATAGTGAGGCCACGTGACCACAGCTGGCAAGGGATCGCAGTCTCAGCAACAGCCACGGGACTGTGCCCACTGGACAGCGGACCTGCCCGCCCCACGCAAGCCTTCGGATGCTGCAGCTGTGGCTGACATCCCACAACCACCTCTGGAGAGAGCCTGAGTCAGAACTGCCCAGCTAAGTCACCCAAATTCCTGACTCTCAGAAACTCTGGGATGATAAATGTTTTTTCTGGAAGTTGCTAAGTTCTGGAGCAATCTTTTAAACAGCAGTAGATAATACACTGCAGACACCACATTAAACTTTGATAACCCCTGAGTTACAGCAGAGGTCAACGAGGAATGCACTATGGAAACACAAAGGAAGGATGAATGGGACCAGACAGAGATGACGAGCAGAAGCTTAATTCTGTCAGCAGAGAGAGCAGCCAAAGACCCCCTAGCAAGCAGTGTCAGGACATCAGCAAAATGACTTTACATGTTCGCCTCGCTGTCAGACTCAGGTATTAGGCAGAGGCCGGCAGGCAGTGAGACCGAGTTAATAAGCTCTACGCTAGGTTAGACGAGGAGGACAGGGAGGAGGAAGCAGCTAACGGTTATCAAGTGCGGGCTGTGCCTGACGCACAGAGCCGGCGGCTCCACGTCTATGAACGCATCTAACTGGAGCTTCACAAGTGCATCAGGTGAATGCGATCACCTCCAATTTACAGAGAAGACTGCGGCAGGTGAGGCTTGTCCGAACCCCCAGTGCGTATGCGCTGGAGCCAGGATTCCGACTCTGACATGTCTGACTCCAAAGTCCATGTTCACCTACCTTAGAAATTTCCAACTAAAATAATCGACAAATTATAAGCTGCTGACATAGAAAGTCCAGAGCAACGCTGGGCGCTGGCATAGAACTTTTTTAAAAAGTCGACAATTTGCATAGAAGTGAGAAAAAATACCAGAGATTTCATAATCTGTGAACCTGATGGCTGAAGATAGTTAAATTTGGAAAGGAAATATGAGCTTTAAGGAAAGTTCCATAAGGACTATTTTATTTTTATTTTATTTATTTTATTTATTTTTTATTTATTTTTTACTTTTATTTTATTTTTTAAAGTTTTCTTATTATAAAAGGACACCTAAGAACAGCACTTCAGCTCATTTTTACAATTTATTCCTGGGCTCAAGGGATCCTCCTGCCTCAGCTGGGATTCTAGGTATGAGCCACTGCACGCAGCCTCTACTATCTTAATTCAACTTATCTCTCCATATTCACTTTTCAATCTTTATAAATAGATACTAGTTAAAAAAAAAATCAAACACAGACATGTCAGAGGAGTAAAGAAATATGTCCCAATAGCCAGAACCTGGGGGGTGCAGGAATTATCTTTGGAAAAAGACAATTTTACCAATCAATATGAAAATAAAATGAGTACATAAAAGAGAGCACAGGGGATTACAGACATAAAACTGATCTATATCCTCATGATCAAAGTACTTAGTACTTAGGCTGCCTTCTCCAGACACACAGGTGTGGGGCAGGAGAACAGGCCAGGTAGTCAAGTCCTTATCACTGCTTTGCCTCATTTGTCACAGCACCTCTGCTGAACATAGAATGCATCAAAGGCCCTCTCAAATAAAACAAAGACAGAGCTGACAAAAGTCCACAAAGTTTATGTGGAAGGAATTTTCAAGAAAATGCATTTGTGTAAAAAAGAAAAAACAAGGCCAGGCGTGGTGGCTCATGCCTGTAATCCTAGTACTTTGGGAAGCTGAAGTGGGAGGATCACAAGAAGTCAGGAGTTTGAGACTAGCTTGGGCAACATAGCAAGACCGTTTCTCAAAAAACAAGCAAACAAAAAATCAGTCTGACATGGTGGCACGTGTCACTGGGGAGGCTAAGGTGGGAGGATTGTTTGAGCCCAGGAGTTTGAGGTTGCTGTGAGCTATGATAGGACCACTGCACTGCAGCCTGAGTGACAGAGCAAGACCCTGTCTCAAAAACAAAACAAAACAAAAAACCAAAAAACCCCACAAAAAACAACAAAGAAAGGAAAATATAGGTATCTGCTTCTTAATACACAGAATATCTCCGAAAAGACACACAGAAACTGATGGCACTGGTTGCCACAAGGGTAGGAAAATTTTTT